ATTTTGGCAGCAGGTTGGACTAGATGATCTCTAGAGCTCCCTTCCAGCCCCTACAAATTCTGTGATTCTGTGACATTAAACCAAGATCTTCCAGAACAGTGAGCATGATGCTACAGGATCACCGCCTCAATACAAACTTAGCACTGCCTGATGATGCCTGATGAGTAAACTCTTCAAAAGGGCTGACAACAGCAGGACTAGGGGAAATGGATCGAAGTTGAAGGAGGGAAGATTTAGGTTGGATGTTAGGGGGAAGTTCTATACAAGGAGAGTGGTTAGGCCCTGAACGGGCTGCCCAGGGAGGTTGTGGATGCCCCGTCCTTGGATGTGTTTAAGGCCAGATTGGACAGGGTCCTGGGCAACCTGATCTGAATGTGTGTGTTTGGTGGCCCTGCTAGGCAGGGGGGTTGGAACTACATGATCCTTGAGGTCCCTTCCAACCCGGGTGATTCTGTGATTCTGTGATTCTGTGATGACAGTCATGTAATCCTCCACATATTATAATCTTCTCTGCTCTACTTCAGTACAGGAATCTCTATGAATTAGAACATTCTATCCATATACACGTAACAACCATGGTTATGTTTTGATTTACTGTGTCAGCATGGACAAATTGGAGCATTCTGGACATCAATTTACCTATCTGATAAAAACAAATTATAGTAGCTTTTGCTCCTAAGTCTTTAGAATGGCTAGCCTCAAATGGAAGTTGTGTAGCTATTTGATGTCTGTTAAATACAGTTTTCTTCCAAGTACTGTAGAAATTATAATGTCTTGTGTAACTAGTGAAGTAGCATAGATTCATAAATTATACAGGCAGAAGGAAATCCCCTAAACATACCAGGAAGTGCATAAAATATGCATCACAATGCTACAAATTGAAATTTCTCCTTCCAAGAGGGAGCTGCATTACTAAGTTCATTGATAGTTGAACTGACACATGAAGCCTCCTATCTCTTCTTGAAAATGTATTTTTATTACCATTAAAAATTTTTGAAAAGATTATTTAAAAGCAATGAGAAGGTTACAAATGCACTATGTATATTTATAAATGTCAAGGAAGCTGAAAAGTCTATAAGATGTCCTAGCATTTCACCGAATCAAACCTTTGGGAAAGGAATAGCTGAATTAGCTTGAAAATGTATCCATTCAAAATGCTTGTTCTTCCTTTCTTACTGGTATATCTTAAGAGAACTTCATAAGGTTATCATCAATTGCTCCCCTTGCCAAAGATAGCATATCTCATATAGGCACTTTTAAGCTAATTTAAAATAAACTCAGGCATTTGTTTCCCCTTGCCCTTGTTTCCATGTCAACAGCACTTAATGAATGCATCATTCCAGGAAATGTCAACAAGGAACAAAGAATGAACAAGCACTGAAAACTTCACACATGGTATGCATCCTTCACAATCATATCACTTTAATGAAAATAGGTGAGGTCACCTGCAGCATTAGCAAATGCTTTGTAATACATTCTGACCCAGATGATTTTTCACAGTTCAGTAACACCCTGTTTGAAGTTTTCACAGCAAACAATACACCCACAGGACTGACCAAGCGCGGGTACAAGAGAAGCAACCAGCAATTACTGTGTTGACTTCTGTTACTTTGATCTCCAGGTCATGACCTGTGCTTTCACCCAATCTTCAAAGTAGAGATTGTAGAATAGGTTATTTTAGAACATGTACTGTTTCGTAAGTGGTTTTTCTGCGTATTCGTTGCTTCCCGTTTAAGGCAAAAGATTTTCAGTCTTTCCTATTGCCACTGTATTTTCTGATTCTAATTCCAGCAGTGAGGAGAAATTCCTGAAATTTTCTTTTACTCTCAACCCCAAGATAAACTTTCACAAAATATCATTTCTCAAAACTGGAAAGCTTAAAAAAATACAAATAAAATTAAAAAAAAAAATAGGAGTCATAGCACAATATTTTCTTACAGAAATAAATTAAAGCACTTTTATAATAGTGGAAAAACAAACAAACAAACAACCACCCAATACTTTTAAAAAGGAACCAAACAAGTTTGGTTATAAAAATATCACTGAATGAAGCTTTCCATTTTCTTTCCTTCTCCAAGAAAAATTTCATTAACAAACAGAAATGTCATCAATTTATTCTCCTACACATTTGAAGGTAAGGAGAAATAACAGGGCATGGAAAACAAAACAAAACATTTTACTGTTTCTATTATTTTTCCCAAAAAATAACCTACTCAAATGTTAGTATGTTTCTGAGAAAAAAAAGCAATCGTTTTGAAAGAAAGTCACAGTGTTTTTGGATAAAACCTATTTGCAATGAAAAAAACAAAACAAAATAAAAGACAAGCTATAGCACTGAACTGCTCATTGAAATGGTGAATCACTTGATGATCCAGATCTTTACACCTCAATTAAAAAAAAAACATAGTTACATATACTCCTTTTATTTCTACTGCGAATTTATTTGTAAATTAATGAAGTTTTAAAAACTTAATTTTGCACAATTTTCTTACAGTTGAAATTTTTTAGGTTTTATAGGACTTTTCAGTTTGCTGGAATGTGAAGATTAAGTAAAGCTTTGATTTCCAGCACCTTTCTCATTCTGGTTGAGGAATTAAACAGCCTGAACTCTAATTGAACTCAGTAGGAATGAAATTAAAGCTCAATGAAAAATGAAGCTGTGGTTCCAGTGGTCACTGCAAAAAAGAGCCAAAGTATTTGATAAAATGCTTATTTCATTGAGGTTCACTGAAATACACTGTTTTGATGTTTTCAATGTGACAAAATTTCTCTAAAAGCTTAAAAAAAAAAAAAGTTACTTCAGAACCTGAAAAAAATGCCTAAGCTAACCATTACAATTATTTGCTTTTAAGATTAGTAGCAATACATCTATTCTGTAGAGTTAAAGTTGTATATTTTGGGAAAGAAAGAAAATGTCTAAATTTCTGCAGAACACGTATTAAAAACTGAATAACTAGTAGACTTCTTTTAATCAGTTTCATCATTATTCATTATGTAAATATACTGCTGTAAAGACAAATTATATATATATACACACACACATTATATGCATACAGAATGAGTATTTATACATGTGTGTACACACATACCTAAACATTTTTGTTTGTTTGCCTTTGAATGTAATGCTGTCTTGCAAATACAAGTTATATAATGTAACAAAATCATGGAAAATTTTCAGGAAGCTTTAATTACAGCAGCAGAACCATAAATCATTCAACAAATTGGAAGTCCATTTGTCTTTCTTGAACAAGTTTTAATTAACACAGTTTACATGGAAAAAATATCCAAGTTTTTGAAAAGTTGAGAGGAAAGAAAATGGAGGCAATGTTGCGGTTTCCAGCAGATGCATAAATGCAATCATTTCACAATTTTGACATGGTGGTTTGCCATGATGTGACCTACAACTACCTTGACCTCCCTGAAATCAACATTTTGCATTGAAATGAAACAACAGACACGCTTGTTTTGATGTATGGCTGCATGACATTTTATAAATATTACATCACATAACCACAGAGGATGTCAATCAATAAAGAATTTTTTCAGACAGCACTAAATGAACCATAGGTTCTTGCCTCTGAATGGCTCCTTTAAGGTACTATTTTTGCTTAAATGATTAATAGGAGACATTGTCAGAAAACATACTTAAAGTGAAAAACAGTAAACTGAAGAAATATCATTCATTTTTAAGCAATTCTCCACTGCAAATGTCACATAAATTTATACAGAGACAGCATTGTTAGACTCCTGTAAGCTGGATAGTAGACATATCTTCCACATAAATGCAAAAGCAATGGGAAAATACTTTATTAAATTTTAGCTGCTCTACTTTTTGAAAACTAAAATACTCTAGATATGTTAGATTCAAAAGTAGACTTGTTAGGAGGTAAAAATCTTTAGATTAACGATAACCAAGAAATCCTTTTCAAAAATGTGGAACAAAGTAAACAAATGTATCTGCACCCAGAAAAATTCTGCTGCTGTTTTAATCTACAGTATTTATGAGCAACAAGCTGCTGTATCCAATTCATGCACCTTCCTAATAAATCCACTTTTGGTCTCCTCCACTTTGTGCTGTTTTCATACTAGCTCCTACAGAATACTTTGGATTACATGAAGATATTTTCAGGAGTTTTGTAACTCGGAATATTCCAAGTTATCTGCTAACAAGAAGTGAGCTCGGTCTCTAAGGTCATCAGCACACTGACCAGCACCGCTTGGCTGCAATTTGCCTCACAGAGAGCCGTTTTCAGCTCAAGTGCAAGTACACAGAGACTGGAAGCTTGAATCAGATGTGAACAAGAAGAAATTATTTGTAATAATAATAATCAATGTCTTACTTGACTAACAATTACAGCTATGAAAAGTTGTCACTTCAGCAGAAATTCCGTAAGCTTTGGACCTATACTCACAACCACTTTATGTGCAATCTAGCTCATTAAAATTACATTATAGAGAAGGCTTGCCTATTTGATTTGATTCTAAAAACCAACAGTTCTCAGTAAAGAACCGCAATACAGTAGTCCTTTCTTCTGTGTTCTTTAATAGTGTCTTGATACCTCTAATAGAATAAATGCCTCACTATAATCAGACATTTACAGGAGACAATGAGACTGGCTTAGTACAGCGACTTTTTTTTATTTTTTTTTATTCTTAGCTGTTACCACTAGTATATATAACTGTTGCCTTACCTTGGCCTTAAAGAAGGAGGGGACATAGGCAAATACATACGAGCATCCTCATTCAGGAAAGCCTGTGTAAACCTGCTCAGCTAAATCTGAACATCACTGAAATAGCTCCCGAAATATTTTCTAAGAGGGATCGCACTGAAATTGTGTTACTCAAATTCACAGGTGTTTCATGGCAGAACATGGCACACTGTCTTCAGAAGAGAGAGAGTAAATGGTTTGTTCAGGACTATGAGTTGGATTTAGTTCAGTATTTCTTCAGTATTAAAAACAAAGCTGACATACTTTATCTATATAATTGAAGACACTAACCTGTACCTCTGGTAGTCATCTTCATCCTTTTCTTTGCAGACCAATTCATTTGGGCAGGCCACATTTCCAAGCAAACTGAGATACTGCAGTGAGGGCACAACTTCAGCCAAATGATCCAAAAGGCTTTCTAATTCTGTTATGTGTCAAAGGTTGTGTGTTAAGGATTCGATGACATGTCTGAGGAAAAGCATTTAGAGTTGCATCACTGCTGATTTAAACATACATTTCAATAACTGACAATCAAATTTAGTATGGCATTCGGGGAAATGTCACATTAATTGTTCCAAGGGCAAACAGGGATAAACTTTAGTCAGTTTGTTGGCATTGAATGAAAGAATTTGGCTGTTTTGTCAGTCTTTTCTTTCCTAGGTGGTTCACTACAGAACATTAAAACTTTGACAAAATGATGGATGCTGTGTGGTAAAATGGCTAGCAATTGCTCTTGCCATGAAACTTTTCCAGCATGGAAACAAACAGTTTCACAGAACATTCATCACTAATATATTCAGTCCACTGGAAAACGAGCTTTTTTTTTTTTTTTTTTTAAGTCAAACCACAACAATCCACTTTTACTCTCAGAATATAAATACTTTTAGTGCCATGGCAACACATTTTTAATTACTCAATTAGTACATGCAAATAAACGATTCTATAAAAGCAACTTAAAGAATTCAATATGTATTTTATCCGTGAAGTTTTGAAGTCCATAAAGCATATCTTTAATTAAAATAGCCTTATACTTTGTGTTATGAGACATTTCAACTTAAGTGTGTTCCTCAGAACATAAATGATGACACATCTTTGACTTTGTAAAATGTATTAAAACAAACAAACAAGCAGAAATTAATCTTTCAACCACTGCAATATTGGACATCACTGCTTAGGTTTAAGCATAACAATATTCAACTATACTGAAATATACTGATTGAACAACTACAGTAAATTTTTGTTGAAGTGCAGTCTCAGAGAATCACACTACATCCTGTTGTTTGGTTCAATTTACATGCAAAACTTGAAATTCTAAAAAAAAGAGGCCATATGTACGCGTGTATGTAGTTTTCGGTGCTTAAAACCTAACTGGTTTAGACAATAGTAGTAATTATTCAAAACCATTAAGGGTATTTCACTGTTCTGTTTTTATCTACTCCTGCTGTTACAGACCACAACTATTATTTTAAATCCTCAGTTCACTTGTGTTGCTATTATTTATACTTGATTTATGTGTTTCTGTTATCTTTGTTATTTTTAGGTGATGGAATTTACTTTATTTCTTCACCTCAATATCTTAAGGGCAACAGAAGCAATACAGAATGAAAAGAGCAGCTTCACTGTTAAAAACATTGTCTTCTTTTTGTTCTGAAATTTCATTTTATTTTCAAACATAAGATCATGTCGACAATTATTAATTTTAGCATATTAAAAAACAGCAGTTATACTCAAAGCTAATGTTCTCTACCAAAATATCTGAGAAAATTACACTTAAATATTTTGCATGAGTGAGAAAAATTCAAGTTTTGAATTAGATATGTGACTATGGAATGCTACAGCCATCAAATCATTTACTAGACCATAAGAAAAACTGAATCACGAAGCATCACATAATATAACGCATCTTAGCCACAATAAAGACAAAATTCTCATCTTCATTTCTAGACCTCTAGACCACACATAAACTTATAAACAAATTATTTTCATGACTTTTTCGGGAAGGACATAAATTTGATGGGAAGGCCATGGAATTGTAGACTCATTTGCAAGCTGGAAGGTTGGAAGACCTTTAGTGGTCATTTAGCTTAACTCCCCTTCAATGAACAGGGATACCTACAGCTTGATGAGGTTGCTCATGACCCTGTCCAGCCTGACCTTGAGTGTCTCCAAGGATGGGGCACCCACCACCTCTCTGGGCAAACTGTTCCACTGCTTTACCACCTCTACTGTAAGAAACATGTTTCTTCTAATCAATTCTAAGTCTTCTCTCCTTTAGTCTGAAACTGTTTCCCCTTGTCCTGTCCTAACAGACCCTGCTGAAGAGTCTGCCCCCTTCTCTCTTATAGCCCCCCCTTTAGATACTGAAAGGTTGCTATCGGGTCTCCTGGAGATTTTCCTTCACCAGGCTGAATAGCCCCAGCTTTTTTAGCCTGACCTTGTAGAGGAGGTGCTCCATCCCCTGCATCATTTTTGTAGCCCTTCTCTGGATGTGCTTCAACAGGTCCATGTACAGAACACCCCACATCTGGATGCACTATTCCAGGTAAGATCTCACCAGCACAGAGTAAAGGGGCAGGATTACCTCCCTCACCCTGGTGGAATGTCACAAACTCTTTTTCCGCACATATTTTACTAATAAGATTTTTTAAATTTTCTATTAGACTATTAGAGGAGTGCTTGCATCTAGCACTCTCAGCCAGGAGAAACAATTTCTTTCAAGACTGATTAAATTGCACAAAGGTTTCATTAGATAAGTAATTTATTATTACAAAAAGCAGAAAAGCAGTTATTTCAATTACAGCAATGACACACAGGGGGTTAGCTGTTGCAAAACTTATATCTTATCTGTCCATTCCCTATTTAAAAAGAAAAAAAAAGAAAATAAACTTTTTTGACTCTTATATGAAGTAAAAATTTAGGATTTTTAGTTGAAATTCAGTAGAGCTTTTTCTGGGTTAGAATTTTTTCTCCCCAAAGTTAGTGATTATTGATTAAGACAGATGTCTTCTAACTCCCATTTGACCACACAGAGTTAGAGGAAAATATCAGAATACTTTTGGATATTTAATATATGACAACTTAGATTAATACTGCAAATCCTAGTCCTACAGAAAGCAAAGGGGAGACATACCATACTCACTAAGGCTCTTGGTTAAATAGTAGTTGATAACCTGCGTCTCAAATACATAAATCTACCTCAAAGATGGAAAATAGTGCCTAGATTCTAATATTTCACATCCAAATCACATTGCTTTTTGGTACAGAAACTCTCTCATGAATGTTCTCTCAAGAAAGCATGACAAGTAGCACACACCAACATCTTACCATGTAGCTGTTGCCCTCAGACATTTTCTTTCTTATCATTTACTCATTTTCCTCTGTAGAATTAGATAGATACTTAGCACCCTAGCATTATTTTGATTTCAGTTGCAACAGGAGCAGAAACATGAGAAAACCCAAGAATCAGACATAATCACTTGAAACATAGAAAGTCACTAATTCATGTAAAAGATGAAGATTTGCAAACTTGGAACAGCTCCAAAATCACGGAATAATAGGAACACTGGTCCACCAATCAACCTGCAGGTTGTGATAGTCAACTTTTAGTTGGGACATCACGACATCATATCACAACTAAAATAATTGCACTGAGGTTCATTAATTAAAACTTCTGTTATGTAGGATTTCAACTCTTTTTCCATCCCCCTTTTAAAAACAAAAAAAAAAAGCAAATGAAGGTACAGAATATTTTTCCAAGAAGTTCCGTTTACCTGCCATCACAGTTACTCCTCACAAAGCAGGTAGGAGAAAAAATAAATTAAGCTTTGTTCAAATTTTCATGACTAAGTATTTTTCAGAGATGAGACATAAGTCATAGAGTACTTCTAGTGCAGTATTTAGTTAATTAGAAGGTCATATATTTGTTTTCTTTTAAAAATAGTGGAAGGCCAGCAAAACTATAAAGTGTTTCTAAAACAGTGTTAAATATACAGAGGAAGAAAATCAAAAGCAAGTTGGAAATTTAATTTTCTTTTTCCTGTTCATGATTCACTGTTGCCATCTTGATGCAACCAGAGCCAAAGAACTGCAAAACTCTGTTGTGTAATTGCTAAGGTCAACCTCATCTATATTCTTTCCAAAAATGAAAGCCACAATAAAATCCATGTACAGTGCAAGGGAAATTTTCTTTATTTAAAGTTCAATGACATAAACCCTGAATTCATTTTTCTGAAGGCAGTATCACTGATCACCAAGTAAATACGTAGCAGTGATCAAAATATTTATACTGTAGTCTCTATTGTTTGAAAAATGTTCAAAATTGTCTCTGTTAAAATAATTAAAATGTCTTAGCATGCCACCTTCATTCAACTGTTGTCATTACTGGTCTATTAACGCCCTTCTTTCCGAAGAACAATGACCAAAATAAAAATGTGTAAGTTTTTTTTTTTTTCTTTTTCTTCTAAACTTGCCTACCCTTCAGATAACAAGTTAATTCTTAGCAATAATACAGTAATGACCCCCTCCAAAAACACAGCCTGGCCTCCAACAATTAACATAAATCTATTAAATGTATTTTAAATTTCCATCCTCATCAGAAGATTATGATTTCTTGCACTGTTTTCAGTTTTATGTTAGGAAAATACTTAAAGAGAACTGGTTCTTCCATACTCCGATGAACTTTTTAAAGCCTCCTAATTATTTTACATGTATGCACGCATACATGCTTTTATATTTATAGTAGACAGCTCACAACAAACATATGCACAAGCACACACAATTGATCAGCTTACTTTCTTTTAAAAAAATAAGCTACAGTAGCACCAAAACATTATCAATAGCATTACTTGAAAAACCCAGTTAACCTATAGTTAACCTGCTAAGCAATATAATAAAACTCTAGGTGCAAATTTTATGCAACCAAAAATGTCCTACAAATAAGCACTATCTGTGTTTTTCACTTTCACTGACTTCTACTCAATAACATAGTTTTTGAGGTTTTCCAGAAAGCAAAAAGAGCAAGCCAAATGTTCAAGGCAAATGATGCGCCTCCCTTCTCTGGCTAAGAATTAACTTGGTTTGTAACTGTCTAACTGTTATAAGAATTCAACATCATCATCAGGAATGATGCTGAACATCCCCCGTACTCCATACTATTTTCTCTCTTACTCTCTTATTTTTGGTTCATAAAATTGCTTTTTCAGCAGTTTTGCAAAATATGAGCAATGTGACTTGCTGGTCAAACCTCTGGTAACAGAAACAATTTCTGGTAGCAGTTTCTACATTAAATTATTCTATATAAGTGCATTAAAGTGCTGTTCTACATAGACCTGTGCAAATAAACTAACCAATATGAATTTCACATCTCACCACCTGGTTTTCTTTTCCATGAATATAGGTCAAAGTTCATTAAGGAAACTGCAATATTTTTCTGCAAACTTTTTTTTACTGCTAGCATTTTTTTTTTAACAGTCACACACTCAAATTAATTGACTTTCTAAGGAAACTAATAACTCTCTCACTCTCAATGCTTTGCAAGTTGTACAGCTATTTTCTTTCAAAAAGCTTGTAGTTTGCCTTGCCAATTTTTTTGCTCAGACAGTTGAGGAAAAGCTATCTGCATTCATGACTTTCTGTGATTACAGCTTTCAGAAGTTCTTGGAAGCAAAGAGACAAAGCAAAGAGCAATCACTTTTATATTCAAAATATTTATGAAATGTTTACTTAGAGAATATTAGAAATATCACATAAAGTTTTAGCCCACCATACAGAAAGACCAAAAACTGTCACTCAGAAGTCTTTTGTCAACCATGTCATGTAGGTTCTGTAATCAATATGAAATTGAAAGAGCTGGATAGCCCTTCTACCAGAGTCTTAAACAAGCAAGTTACCTGTATTTTTTCAAATTTGTAACATCTTTTGCTTTAATTAACTTTATCACAAATATGTTGCAGCAATTACAAGTGATTCTACAGGCAAATAGCCTTGAAGCAGAAGTTACCAATTCTCCTCTGAATGCAGTATGAAAAGATCTTTGCCACCTGAATGCTTTTCCATTAGAATGTGCTAGGTCTTCATGGTTGGATAACCACAGAAATAGCTTGCATTATGCAAGTCTTCCTCTTCTGCAATAGGATGCCACATACAGTCATTTGTACACCGCATTCTAGCTTGAGCCCTGTCTGATAGGCAGTCAGGGCCCTGAGATAGGGTCTTGCTCACTGATTTTAAAACCACTTCGCTCAAGAAAGAAAAGTTGCAACACAAGTGGTAATTAACTAAGTCCATACATCTTATGGTGAGCTTCCCATTTACTGAATACTGAGGATATTCTGTCTAGTGGAGTAGCATTAGATTTCTTTGCATAACTGGAGTTTCCAGGGAATTCAAATATCTTTCCACAAGGTCAGGGTTCCCAGGCAGGAAGTTTTAAGAACATATTTCAATGTCATTAGTTATACAATTAGAGGCATTTAGATAGTACTGTCAATATTAGATTCTAACTATTGGTTATCCCCATAGCTGTCACACACTTAGGCTAGACATCTGTGATGTTCCCTTCCAGCTGAACTATTCTATTCTAAGTTGAGAACAAGTTAGTATGCTTCTATTTCTACAAGCAAATTATTTTTCTGGTTCTCTAGAGTGATCCATCAATCCAAAAAACATAAATCATGTACTTCAAAGATTTTCTTTTAACACTGTTTCTTCCAGTTGTTCAAGATTCCCAAGAAAATACAAAGATAATTTAAAAAAAATGCAGTGGCTCATCATTTTTAGAAGTTCTGACAACTGCAGTCAAATTTGTCCATTACTGCTCTAGAACAGGAGAATGAATTGCCTGTACTACCTCATTTTGCAGACATTTAGCATCATACATTCACATTGCTTACTTTTTGGTACACTGTGTAAGAAAAAAGGTGGTCTCGAGGGTGGTGAAGAGTGAAAAAAAAAAAAGGCTCAAGACTCAAGTAAATTCAAAACACTTTGCAGAATTCATTGAGGTTTTTGTTTCATCAGGTACTGTAGTTCTCTAGCTACACACTCAAATTTAGCCATATTTGTCAGTGTCACATAGAGAGTTCTCAGGACCAAATGCAGGAATACTGCTGTACTGTTTCAGCTCATATCTTTGTTTAGTGGAGGTTAAGATCTATAGATAATGTCTTTAATGTATTCACTCAATGTAAACATCAAGTCCTCTGCACTTAACACAATGGGATTTTGGTCACAGATTGGGACTTCTAGGTCTTCAAGCACTTTAGGACAACATAGAAACAAGCACAGGCACAATAATTTATAATCTATGGTTTGGAATTGGGCATTAGGACAAAAACTCTGTGGAGATAGACGATAATCAGGAATACTTACCGGGACATCCTTTAGTTTAGGTACTCAATCCATGCCATATTCAAATATTCAGAAACCTATCATCCCTAAATCTGAAGCACGGTTAGCGTCTTTGCCATAAGCAATGCATTTATCGTTACTACCATTCTGCCTCAGTTCTGCATTTCCCACTTGCAAAGCATTTTGGTTTTTCTCTCAGGCATGATCAATCCGCAGCCCAGCACAGATCACAGTGCAGCCACCCCCTGCTCAGCACCATCATGGAGACTCTTCCCGCCAAATGGCCCCACTCAGTCCTTCAGCACTAACCAAATACTGGTGTGTTATTAACCCCATCTAGACTGAAATCAGGGCACGGGGTGTAATGCAGAGCAAGCTTAAGTTATGGCAAATAAGTTTATATCTTTTAATACATTGGCTAAACAGTCCTGTGAACACAGATAAATGTGTAGCTGTGCTTTCCGTTGTGATTCTGGAATTTGAGAATAGGTTTCAAGATTGATCATTGTGGTTCTTTTTCAACCCAGGCCATTCTATGATTCTTTGGGGAATGACTTTACAAGGGTGGATAGTGATAGGACAAAGGAGTATGGTTTTAAACTAAGGCTGGGGAAGTTTAGGTTAGATTAGGTTAGGAGGAAGTTTTTCACACAGAGGGTGGTGACACACTAGAATAGGTTGCACAAGGAGATTGTGGATGCCCCATCCCTGGAAGCATTCAAGGCCAGGTTGGATGTGGTTCTGGGCAGCCTGGTCTGGTGGTTGGCAACCGTGCACATAGCAGGGGGATTGAAACTAGATGATAATTACGGTCTTTTTCAACCCAGGCCATTCTATGATTCTATGATTGCCCAACAATTTCTTAGTTTATTTGCAACTCTACTTTCAGTTGACATAAACATATTGCTTGTGACTTTTCAAATGGAACTGTATAGACTTGCAATAAAAAAGTGATCGTATATCTTTACCAGACTTTTATAAGCTCTCTCTTACCAGAGAGAAATATCCTTCTCTTCACAGTCACACCTTATTCATGTCATCGCTTTTTGGCAGTAGTTACATTTGTGAACAACTGTTTTCAAGGATGAAGTGCAGAAAGAGCAAAATTTCATCAAAGATCACTGATTAACACCTTGAGAGATCATTGAGAATTGCAACCACTGCCATCGAACAAGCACTTCTGCAACTCCTCTCTTAAATTATTGGCAACATGCTACAAAATGTATATACACTGTTTCTATAACATGGGTAGCTCCATATTCCCAAATTTCCAATTTTATAGTTTTAAGACTGAATTTTAAAAATATCTGGATAGGTCAAACCCTGCTTATCATTGTATCACTGACATTGAGAGTTTACTGACTTGATTTTAAGTCTGACTGTGAAACCCAACGGAACCTCTTCAAAGATTACTGCTAACTAATTTTTTTTCCCCTGATTTGTTCAACTAATTCTTATCTAATATGCATGTCCTCCTTTCGATAACTGCAAAGTTCTTCCTTGACACTTCCTATCCCACATACATGCATGCACACACTCAGGAATCCTACTGCCAAATTCACGCATCCTGCTTTGTAGATGGAAACATGCCGCATCAGACATCCACAGCATCATCAAAAATGTAATTATACATACTTCACCAAAGCATGACCTTTGAACTCAGATTTTACATGTGGCAGCAAGTAATAATACCAAACATTTATTCAAAGTGACCAACAGTGTCCTGGTATTAACCAGAAATCTAGCACTTACCTAGTAAAGTGATGACTCTTATGGTTCATGAGACACTTGACAAATTTCCAGGGCTGAGTATATAAATTGCTCTGGTGACTTTTATTTATTTATAAAGTCAAAAATAAGTGCAGAAATCATAGAACCTGTAGTTATTACTTTGCTCCTCAGTAAGAGGATTTTGCTCCAGTAGGAGGTAAATTGCTCTCTGTTTACACTGTCTGAAACAAAAGCCTGCAGTTGAGCAGCCTTGTCCTCACTCTGCAATTAGAAAGAGAATATTTTCACAGCCTGTGCTCTGTAGGTCTCAGTTGGCCTTTTGGCCAAAATTTGATTGCCCTTCACTTTTGTAAAATCATAAATTACACATCTTCAAATCTCCAGAAGGGTCAAAACATGAGAAATGATTTAATAATCAAGTCCATGTCCAGTCCTTGTAGATAATTAGCTTTTACAGACCATTACATATAAGCCTACCGATTGGGGTCTCTGAATCACCACAGTATTCAGGCAAATACTGAAATATTTATGCTGAACAAACTTAAGTAGGCATGCACTAACTTCAGACATACAGAGAAGTGCCTGATTGGTTGTGAATGGACTTAACCATGCATCGAAATATTTAAATATATGATTTGAGGAGCACTTCATATGAATTATACAGAGCCAGAACACCAAGAATATAGCAACTCGATTTAATGGCTGCAGTTACGAAAATGTGCCTAATACCAACTTCATTTTTGATTGCTTTTTCATTTCTTTTTATATTATTATTATTATTATCATTATTATTATTATTATTATTTACTTTGAAGAGCTACTGAGGTATATAAAAACTTAATATCATTTCATTGCTCCCTCTATTCCACTAGAGGTCAGCCTGCAACAGAACCCCAAGCAAACACAAGAACTGCAGCACACCAGTAGCACTGACATTATTTTCTTTCTCTATTTTATCTATTAAAAAAGATTTCTTCAGAGCCATAACTTAGATCTCTCACTAAAATGGAGCAACAGGAAGATATAATGGTGCATTTCATTTATGAATGACCTACAATAAATTACTATGAAGTATTCCAGGTGCCAAGCGAGAGAATGCTTTGTCTGCACATGAACTATATTTCACATACTTTAATTTGGCTGACACATAAAACTCATTTGACATTTTGCAGGTATTTCTTTGAAAGGATATTTGGTTCTTGTTGAGCGTTAAGGTGTGGAGGTGGGGTAACCTGGGTAGCAGAAGGTCATTTCCGAGTAGATTGTTGTCCAAGATCAGCTCTTCCAAGTAAGTGAATGTTTTCAGTCCTTCTAGTGACCTGCAAACGACAAAGGCAACAGGAAAAATGATACTCCACTAAATCAGGGAGGCCATTATGAGCTGAAATAAATATTTTAACCTTCCCTTTCAGGAGTGGGAATAGTTTTGGTTTGGGCCTGTCAGAAGAGTGAATGACAAGCATTAGTGGCAAAGGGAGTGCTGGCACTGCAACACATCCTTCACATGCTGGCAGGATGAAGGATGGGGGTCACTTAGTGAGTAGCCAGGATCCAAAACAAAAGGCTTCAGATATGGGGCCTGCAGGATGAATTTGTCAATGTCTTGTGCCTTCAGGCACCCAGCCTCGCCTGACCCTAACCTCCATTCCCAAGATAAATAACTCTGTCACAGTTCACCTTCATTCCCTGGACACAAATTTAAGTTGTCATCCATCATTTCTGCCAAGAAATATCATACCCCACTAACAATAATAAATACAACTTCAAGTATCATTTCTTAGCTGTTACCCTACATGCAATAATAGGAAATGGAAAAAAGTTTTTTTTTTCTCCTTTTATTAACCACTTAATTTGCTTCTCCTTGAGTCTCTGCAAACAACGTAAAATGTTCTCTACAGAATAAAATGTAGAATTACTCCAGACAGAAAAGGCATTTACTTTCTTCTTGGAACTTTCTGTCCCACTATCAAGCCACAGGTCAGACTGCAGAAAGCAGCTTTAAAAAGGAGCATTTCACAACATGGAAGTGAGATGATGGATTGTAAATAAACAGGATTCTGGAGGTATTCATTCCCCTGATAATACAGTATAGGGAGGAAAAAAAAAAAAAAAAAATCTAAAAGAACACTTAGGTACCTTGTTAAAGCATCTATTCCAAACTCAATTCTTAATGCTTGCACATTCCAGCAAGAAAAAAAAACCCACATATTAATCAAGTAAGAGGCACGGTATACAGATCATAGGCACAGACACATTCACAGCTCATTCACCTACCAGACACCTAAAGATATGCGGAGATTGCAGGACTTGACAGCTGATCTACTATGCCTACCACTGGGAAGATCATCACTGTATCTCTTGGCTGCTTTATAACATGTGATGAATAAGGGAATAAGGTCTATACTATTTATTCACTTTCCAGTGACGTTTATACCAAAGGGATTTCCTCACTCTCCCCCAGTTTTTGGCAAAGATCAAAATCCATCTAAGGTCCCTGTTAAAGAGTTCTACAGACACTACAGCTGGAGGAAAATACAAATATTATGTGTTCTTAATTAGACAATGTAGCATTCATCTGTCCAATAATAAAAATAGTATTTCTGTAGATGCAACATCCTGACCACATAAATCACAGAGCATTCAGACAGTGTTTTTTTAATTCTTTTTTTCTGGAAAATCAAGTTTGTAACCTTTGAACTATTATACACTAAATTATGAACATTTCAATGACACTTATCACAACACAGGAAAAGTATATTCCAATCTAAGGACTCCAGAGTACTTCAGACCTAGTTGACTTGGCATTCTGGAAGGGAGTTGCCACTGTTATTAATGCAATTTTGATGCTGGACAGCCAAACCTGAAGAAAATTCACAAAGCCTACCCCCTATGGCATGTCTATATGATATACTGAGACTAGTTTCCGAAGCTGCAAGAGCAAAAGCCTCCACTCTAAACACACCAAAACAACCGTCAGAGTAGCAGTCATATTTTTGCACTTGCACTTAGAAAGTTCTTTTGGAAAAGCTCAATTCGGCCTGCATAACCCATCTACAGATGAGAGCTGCTAGACTGAGTAGTTATTTCAGTGAAGGGATCATAACAAACTTTGTTTTGCCAAAGTCAAGATCAGAAGAGAGATCAGTGAACATTTCAGACAGTGCTTTCCCCCAAGTACCTTTAAAAGGCAAAATAATCTAGAGGAAGCAGCTGCGAGTTTATCAAGCTGTTATGAGTTTTTCATTTCAGTTTATTTGACAAACCTAGTTCAGTAAATTCCCTTTAAATAATCTTTATTATATAAATAGTGGATTATTTCCAAATCTCACATTTTAGTGTAAGACTTTGACTTGCCAAAGGAGTTCAGAGAAGGCCACCTCCTTGTCAACACCACAGAGCCTTATGAGATGTTAATAGGTCCTTTGTGAAAAAACATTGTTTGGGCTCTGGTCAGTGTCAGCATCAAAATACACATTGTTCCTGAGTTATGTTATGCAAATATAATACTCTTATCATAAGAATCGGCAAATGGTTGGCAACGGGCAAGGAGAAGAAAGCACACATCCAAAACTGCTGCAGGGAAGGCATAAAACAAAATGACAAGCCATGAAGTGGGACAAAAGGCCCTGAAACACTAGAGGGAGTTGCTTATTGAAACAGCCTTTCTTTCACAAGCCTAGGCTGAATACAAGGGTACTGGTTTCATCGATAGGCAGAGAGAATTGTGCACAAATCTCCTTACACCTGTCTAGTTTTGATAATTTTTGCCATGTAATGTTATTAGCTGTTCAGCTAAAAAGGAGCTGTGTTACACAGAGGGTTGCTTATTAACTGTTGTTTTCATGCCATCGGAGTAGTGTGCACTTGGTGATTTAATCAGCTAAATTCAGACCCCAGAGAGATGAGAGGGGCTGACACAGTACAGGGAGAAGGTGTAAATATTAACATAAATTTACATCCATATTTTAGACCAGTATTCATAGAATTCTGATTTTTGCTTCTTAAACTGATTTTCAAAATTAAAATCCAAGGCAACAACATCTATCATCATAACATATAAGGAAATATTGCCAAGCAGTTGCACTCTGAGATAAAAAAAAAAAAAAAAAAAAAAATGTTGTAAGTACAATCTGTGCAATAAGTTTTAGGTGAGTTGCTGAAATTTCTTCCATAATTTCTATGTGCCTCAATTTCCCATTTGCAGATGGAGGATAACACCACCTACGTAAGAAAGAATTACAGTTGTGACTTAGTACATGGAAAGCATTCAGAGAAGCTGAGGTAGAAGTTAGTAGAAAATACCAGCATTTATCTTAGAGTAAGATAGCTATATTAATGTACCGTATCGTCTTATGAGTCCATTATAAAATAGGACACCCATCCACATGGCATAGTAAGAAGCATAGGAACACTGCAAATGAAAAGTATTAAATAAGGGAAATCCCCTGAGAAAAAGAACCAGCCCAAAATTAAATCTGGCCTGCTTTCTCATAGTTCACAGCAGAGGAAATGTCTCCACTTCTTGGCTTATTGAAACAAGCACATGACCCTACCACCACACCAGAACCAGCACTGAAGGGCAGTGGCAAGTAGCGGTTTTCCCTAGCTTCAGAAAGCTAATCAGCATCACTAAGGTGTACTGCAGGTTGCTTTTCCCTGCTGCAATGACAGAAAATCCACCCATTATCTCACCTACAGGTACCATCTCAGTTACCTCATCACAGGGCTCGCAATGCTCCCAGAGGAGAGCAAGTGCTGCCAAGAGATTTCCATTGCAATTTCCAAAGTCACATCAAACCGACAAAACATCACAACGTATTCAGTGCCACCTCATTCAAACAGAAAAAACTTTAAGTTTCCACTGTAATTAACCCTATCCTCGTTAAGATAATTATGATCAAGCTCCCTGTCACAGCTAATATTGCAGCATCATTGCCTGTGGCTCACGCTCTGCCCTCATTAGCTTACAAAGCCACTGCACTAAACAGGAAAGTGATTCCCTCTGCAAAACGACTTAAGATGTTCTGTAAGCAGACAGTAAATAATCCTTTAGAATACAAAGGTCTCAGAAGTGTCATTTTATCCAAGTCCTTCAACTAATCAGCCTGATTTCTCCCAGCTTTCTTTTCCATAATTCAATCATGATTTCTCACAAAGTTTTAATCATAAAGGAATGTCACGGCAGGGATTTTTCCCTCTATGTGCATGCATGGCAATTGCCAGCTACAGTACTTTACACAAACCCCCTGGCCCGATGGGATTTGGGTACAATGAAAATAAAGGGCAGCTCTTCAATTCGGTAATATTCGACAATGAAAACGTGAAAATGCATAAATGAAAAAAAAAAGCAGAAGCACCTATGGAGTGATGGACAAACCTTGGTACAATGCTGTTGTTCCTGTCCTGAAGAACTTCAGAAGTACATTCTAAAAAGGTGTTTCCAGTTCTAATAAGACAGCTGACTCCTATCTAATGACTTTTTTCTCCTGTTTAACAGGAAAAGTGAAAGCAGTTAACAGTATGTAAATGAGAGAGTTTGGCTTTTGCTTTTAAATTGATTTGTACTCTGTTGACAAGAGATAGCCACTACCAGAAGTTAAAGACAGAGCTGCTATATTACAAGAGCTTTTTAACGTCTTTTTTCTTGCCTTATATGTTTTAACAGGTTACAGGAGAGCAGCATCAACATGAAAACCCTAGTACCAGATAATTTCAGCATTTTAAAAATATAAATCTAATTTCTATTCCTTAGCACCTGCCAGCCAAAGATGACAAAGGCTATTGGTTTCATATATATACATATGCATATATGTGTATGCAATGATAAATAACAGAAAACAGAAAACATTTTTCCTAATTCCTTGAGAATGCAAAATATATATAAATATAATTTCAGTTTTACTTGATCTGATTTCTGTTCAAATTTAACTTCCCTTTAAACTGAATCATAACACACAAATAAGGGGGTGGGGGGGAGAGAGGAAAAAGCTATATCCAATTTTATTCTGATGACGAAAGGAGTTTGGTGAATCTCCCATGCAAATTGTCTTGGACTGAGGTCTCTGACTCAACTCTCTACTTTCAAATCTTTTTCGGAGGTTCAATTCTAAACACACTTCTCCCATGCAAGTACAGAAAACTAAATAATGCATTTTAAAGAAAACAAAGCAGCTGGATAATACATTCAAACAGAAAACAGAAAGGATGATGTAACAGAGTTCTTACGTGATTTCTGGACCAAAGGGGAAGGAGAAGATTTAAAAAAAAAATAGAGAAAGTAAAGAACCCGCAAACTCCAGCATTAAAGTACCAAAGATTG